GTGGTGGTGGAGGTGGTGATGGTGGTGGTTGGTGTGGTGATGGTGACAGTGATGGAGGGGGTGATGTGGTGGTGGTGATGATGGTGCTGATAGTGTTTGTAAAGGTGGTGATGGTGTGATGGTAGTGGTGGCGGAGGTGGTGATGGTGGTGATGATGGTGGTTGTGAAGGTGGTGATGGTTTGATGGTAGTGGTGGTAGAGATGGTGATGGTGATGGTGACGGTAATGTGTGTCTACAAGGAGTCTCTTTGGTTTTAGTAATTCTGATAGTGTCTTTTAATACAAACCCTGGTATTTTGTTTTGGCATTCAGAATTATTCTTTATGTCACCACATTTACCACGATGCTTTTAACACAGCTGTGCGCACACACACACACACACACACACACACACAAACTTTCAGAGTGTTCAACAATAGTTAATAAAATCCCCTTTCAGAAGAGGGCAGCAGTGATCAAATTGGCCTTCTGTGAACGTATCAACTTGCGTTTTATAGATAATCTGTTATAGTCAATATTTTAGCATTGTGCTTTAAGTGTAATAATTTTTTTCCAGGACCAGCAAGTCCCTGCCAATGCAGATTGATGGAGAGCCATGGATGCAGACCCCATGCACGGTGAGCACAACTAGAAGGGGATCATTACCAGCATTGCTCTCATTTTGCAGAGATCATGTATTTCTGTTTTTAATTTTTAATTTTAATTTTAATTTTTAATTCTTACAATTATTGGAGATGAGGGATGGGGCTACAATCATGTTATAAGGTGAATAAATTGAGAACATGTATTTCTGTGGCTAGGTAAGCACAGTATCTAATTTATGTACTATTCTTCTCTAAGAACTATGTGGCAAGTCCTGTTCAACCCCTATTTATGTAGAGAAGTTATTGCATACAGGCTGGAAGTGTGTCTACACCTGTCAATGACTTAGCTTTTGAATATATATTTGAGCCTAACTTGAGATACCAAAACCAACTGTAAACTCTGAGGACAAACAAAATACTGAGAAAATTTCTTTTAATTCTCTTATGTTTAATTTCCAAAAACATAGTAAGAAAATTGGTTGTGGAACATTGGCACATATGAAGAAAAAAAAAAACTGCTGATATACAACTTAATAAAATCTCTTTTGTTTCTGGAATATTTCATAAGTCTACTATATCCAGGGCCTCCTTATTTAGCTTCTTTAGGTGTAAAGATTTTATTATGTTTATCCTATCTTATAGGTCTAGTATCCACTTATTAGTGAGTATATACCTTGTGTGCCTTTCTGCTTCTGGGATACCTCACTCAGGATGATTTTTTTCTAGATCCCACCATTGGCATGCAGATTTCATGATTTCCTTGTTTTTAATTGCTGAGTAGTATTCCATTGTGTAAAAGTACCACAATTTCTGTATCCATTCCTCCGTTGAGGGACATCCGGGTTGTTTCCAGGTTCTGACTATTACAAATAAAGCTGCTATGAACATGGTTGAATAAATGCCCTTATTGTGTACTTGAGCATATTTTGGATAGATGCTTAGGAATGGTATAGCTAGGTCTTGAAGAAGCACTATTCCTAAGTATTTGAGAAAGCACCAGATTGATTTCCAAAGTGGTTGTACAAGTTTACATTTCCATCAGCAATGGAGGATGGTTTCCCTTTCTCCACATCCTGTCCAGCATGTGTTGTCACTTGAGTTTTTGATCTTTGCCATTCTGGTGGGTGTTGGGTAAAATCTCAGGGTTGTTTTGATTTGCATTTCCCTGATGACTAAGAACATTGAGCATTCCTCTAAGTGTTTTTCTGCCATTCTATATTCCTTTACAGAGAATTCTCTGTTTAGCTCCGTACCTCATTGTTTTAATTGGATTACTTGATTTGTTGCTTTTTAACTGCTTGAGTTCTTTATATATTCTGGACCTAGAATCCCTGAACAGATGTAAACCATGGCAGCTCAGTCTCCAAGTGTATTCCCTCTAAGGAGAACAGGGACTGTCTCTGACATGAACTCAGTGGCTGGCTCTTTGATCATTTCCCCCTGAGTCGGGGGAGCAGCCTTACCAGGCCACAGAGAAAGACAATGCAGCTAGTCCTGATGAGACCTGATAAGCTAGGGTTATATGGAAAGGGAGGAGGACCTCCCCTATCAGTGGACTTGGAGAGGGCCAGGGGAGGAGAAGAGGGAGAGAGGGTGGGACTGGGAAGGAATGAGGGAGGGGACTACAGCTGGGATACAAAGTGAATAAACTATAATTAATATAAAAATAAAATAAAATAAACATGTCCTACAGGCTTGAATACACTCTGATTTTGTGGAGATACTCTCTCAATTGAGGCTACCTCTGCTCTGATGGCTCTAGATTGCACCAAGTGACATAAAACTAGTCAGTACACTAACGGCGGTGGTAATTGTGCTGTTAGGGATGTAGTGATCTTTGTAATGCTGGTGGTAGTGGTACCAGAAGTGGTGATAATGGTGACAACATTATGGGTACTCATAATACCAGAGAAACAAGAATAATGGTTATAATGGCTATGGTAGAAATTGTGGTAAACATATAGTAATGGTAGTGATTGTTTTTATGATGCAGGTTGGCAAAGGTCATGGGAATACTAGTGATCTTTTCCTTAATAGAAAACACTTGTTGTTCAGCCATGGTCAAAGGAGAATAAGTAAAAATAAAAGAAAGAGAGTGGAAGCAAATGCCTCACTTGGGTGGTTTTGTAGTCCTTCTGGTGCTGCAGGTGACTGGAGTAGGGAAGCAGGAATGGTAATGCCGGCACTTAGATCTAAGGTCTTCACGTGTGCGGGTATCAAAATGCCTGGCTTCGCGACACGTGCAATTCTCTCTCTGTCTCTGTCTCTCTCTCTCACACACACACACACACATGCACACACACACAAACAAATTACTTTTAACTCTGTTTTTATGATCAGTTGACTCAAGTAGGGAAAGCTAAAACATTTGTATTAGTCTACATAGTTTAGCAGAAAAATAACTAAAGCCTGTGCAGCTGAGCCCTGGGGGGCTGCAACTTCTTCACTCTTCCCACTGTCATTCCAAGGTGACAAAACCTCAGAGGCCCTCAGACCACCCCTGGGCAAGACCTTGGGCAGTCACTAGCTGTGTTTTTCCAGTTCTGTAATGACTATGTCTATGGTAATTTAATTGAAATTTTGGAATAGGTTTAACTGATTTAATATAAGCACGTTTGACATAGGTTCTAGTTTTTCTTCCAATTAGTAGCAGGATACTCAGTTCACTTATTAATTATTGTGATCTACAGTTGTCAAATTAATAATTTTATATAATTTAAATTTCTTTCCTTATAAATGTACTTGTTCGTTTAAGGCGTGCATTATAGCCTGCAGTGGCTCAAGAACTACACTATGCTAATACTTATTCTTGTTAATGTGAATTTTGGAATATTCTACGTTTCCTAGAACCACATGGGACTTTGAACTTTAAATCTTATTTTAAGTGAAGAGAATATTTAATATTCTTAGCAGTGGTATAGTTTAACTAGAGAGAGGGTTTTTTTTCCTTCAATAAAATAGCACACTGTTTTTCTTACAGAACATAAGAATTTGTAGAATGTTAAAATTCTTTGCTAAATTTAAATATCCATAAGCTGATATTCAATTTATGAAGGAGTTTCTCTAGTTACAATTTTAGAGGAAACCAGAAGGTCTGTTTTCCTTTGAATTGAATAGATGCTGGAGAAGGGCAAGAAATGCATATGTCTTGATTCTTAAATAAATTAATACTATTTTAAAACATTAAGATAATACAGATTATTGAAAACGTTTGTAGTGGTGGTTGTTACACAATGTAAATCTTAATAACACTGGATTTGAAGTGGCATTAAAATGGATTGTATATTTTATCAGCATGAAAAATGATATCTAGTGTCAAGAGAAAAAACAAAGTAATATTTACTTGTGAACTGTACAAAGCCTCATCACAGCTATCAAGAAAAACAGAAAACCAAAGAGGTTTAAATTCATACTTTGTAATTCCTTTCCTGACTCTCTAAATTCTCCCACTAAGAAACAGTCAACAGATATTTTTTTTAAATACCCCTGTGATCCAGTAAGAGTGGACTTTAGTCCAATAACTATCTCTTCACCATTGTCCTGCTTATGTAAAGCAGGACACTATTGATTCTAGAAAAAAAAATATACATTGATATGGATAGTTTAGAAGAGCTGTCTGTAAGCTGAATGCCTGAGCCTCTCTTCACTCTGTAACTTCTTCCTCTGGAACACATAGAACAGACTGACTTAACTACACATTCATGTTATGCAATTGGTAGCCTGGAAATTGGAGGAAGACAGAATATAACAATAGGATGGGGCAGGGCACAGATTATGACAGATTTCACTTCACATCTGTGCACCCAGTACTCCCCAGCTTTTGCAGTTGATGAACTAAAGATAAAGTTTTGTCGAGTAGGAAGTGACTAAGCAAAGCTTTAGGAACCTTAATTGGGGTATCCCCAAAATATACTGCATACTTGCTTTCTTGAACACTCCCCCTACAAATACAAATATGCTCTTCTCCATATTACTTTGATCTGGTAGATCCATCTGGTAGATCCGGTATTTCCATAGCTGGAAATCTGAGTCATCCTATACTTCATTCACTACTCCCTAAACCAGCAAATACATACACTTAATTACATGATCCCATTTTGGCAATCTTCTCCTGTCTCTCCAATCTTTTCCTTTATCACCATCATCCTAAATTTGCCCCATTCCATCACTGACACATTTAATTTGCCATAATACTTTCTGCTTAGTAAGTTTTTCTGGGCTTTCTGTGTGAACATAGGTCAAGTGTTCTTGTTAACAGTTTCCTCTATTTCTTCTTTGCATATTTCCACGTACTTCCCAAGAGTCCAGATAAATTTTTCCTCTTATCTGACAACGGGTACAACTCATTCTTTGGGACAGTCCTTGCTCTTTCTCTTTCATAGAGCCTGCTGCAGGCACAGCCCTTCCAGCCCACCCATACACATTCTTGCATTCCACTAACCTGCAGCCTCATCTCTGCCTGTTGCCTGACACCAACCACATCACACTGAAAGTACAATCATTCTTGCTCCCTGGAGATCTAGGTTCCCTGAACTCATGGGCCATCGTTGGATTCTGCCTGCAGTCTCAGGATACAAAAATGTTCTTCCTGCAGAATGTGGTTGCCAGTACCAAACACATTTTGAATTTATAAATTTTTTAAATACTTCTTGGGGGTAGTATAGCATTTTAAAACAAGCTTTCTACTAAATCTTCTTTCACTGAACATAATGTAGTTTGGCTAGCGATTCATTCACATATTTTTATATCTAAATACATGTAAAAGTTATTTTGAGTTATCTTTATTCATTATATCCTCAAAGCAAAGAGCTTGAATGTACCATGGAAGGAATACTTTATCGATCTCCAAAGATTAATTCCTTCTGTTTCCTGGTCCGGTATAACTAAACTTCTCTGGTTACTTCTGTGTTATTTGTTGTCTATTTATTGGACCTGTCCTGAAAGCCATATTCTGCAAATGATGTGAAATCCTGGTAGCTCATAGCTGTGTATTAGTCATAAGTTATGACACCTTCACAAAACATGATGCTCAT